TCCATCAGTGAGGAAGATGAGTCCTTTTTCTGTTCAGAGGGTTGGAGAGTGATGAAAGATGGTTCCCTCCTCCATCCATCGTCTCTGTTTTTGCTATCCAGCTGTAACCTTTAACCCCTGCAGGCCGGGAAGGTGAGGAAGCACCTGTCGGAGCAGGAGAAGCCGGAGGAGGGCCTGGGCCCAAACATCAAGTCCATAGTCACGATGCTGATGCTGATGCTGCTCATGATGTTCGCCGTCCACTGCACCTGGGTGACCAGCAATGCCTACTCCAGCCCCAGTGTGGTGCTGGCTTCCTACAACCACGATGGGTGAGTGGATTTAGTGCACCCCCCACAAAGTGTTTAGCTTCAGTTCCCTCACCTCGATATTCTGATGAGATCAGACGAATAAAGCTTAATACCAGAGTCCATCTTCATCATGAATGAAACCAAATCCCAAAAACCTCATTTCTACCGTCTGTGAAGAAGACCTCCTGGTCCATGGAGGTCCTCAGCACCAGAACAGCTGGGCGAGGGCTCCAGTCATGGGATCAGGTGAAGACATTCAAAAATACTTTATTAATCCCAGAGGGAAATGCAATTAGCACGGTCCGAAGTCCAAGCCCCTGCTCCAGAAACCCATTAGGGCCAGAGTGTTGTTCTTCTGGGCCTCCCTCGCCGTTCAGCCTCAGAACATGAGTAAAGAATGGTCCCTAGACATCCTCCCAGAGGAACTCCTCCAACCACCCAACGACAGCTAGCCACGAACGATGGCTTCTACGGCACGGTGGAGCCCAGGACCAGAACGGTGACGTTAGATCTGACCCCGGCTTTCCACCGGAGCCGTCAGCAGCGCGAGTCGGCCGCGTCTCAGGAGCAGCATGTCGCGGCCTTTACGCGCCGGTTCTATTTTCTACGCGCGACGCCTCTGAAACGGGTCAAGTTCGACATTTTTGGGGAAGGAAAGACAGGAAATTGGACGCGGAAATGGAGAGAAGCTCCCGAGATTTTCAGAATAAAGAAACTTACTGCCTTCCGGTTGCTTTACTTTTAAAAAAAGTTACTAACTGTGCGTCCCCGTGAGAAGTTATCACCTAGCTAGCGGTCTCCTTTGTTTTTCAGGTCCGTATTGGCGATTATTAAACGGACAGAACATAAAACACAAACCATGTTGTAGTTTTCTCCTGCTTGTTGTTGTGTTTACTGACGAAGTCACTCGTGTGACTTCGTGCTCGGTCGGTGACAGCTGCTCCCCTGCTGCTTCGCGTCTCGTGGGAAGGGCCAAGCAGCAGCTTACGCGAACAAGACGTGCTGCTGCAGTAACGTGCTGCTGACGGCTCCCGTGGAAACCCGGGGTCAGTGGATCAGGAACAGAACATCTGCATGTGGGGTCCAGGTTCCAGAGGCAGGAGGACAAACATGTGTTTAGTGTCTCTGCTGCCCTCCTCATTGTCTCCTCACACCTGTCCTCATGTCCTTAAACAGCTCCCGTAACATCCTAGATGACTTCAGGGAGGCGTACTATTGGCTGAGGCAGAACACAGATGAGCACGCCAGGGTGATGTCATGGTGGGACTACGGCTACCAGATAGCAGGCATGGCCAACAGGACCACGCTGGTGGACAACAACACGTGGAACAACAGCCACATAGCTCTGGTGAGCGACGGCGGGTCTGGAAACACCGTTAGACCCGATTCTGTTTTCCGTTACGCCGGGACGGCTCAAGTTCAGTCAGCGCCGCAAACGTGGAGGCGCCGTGTGAGGGTCGGGCTTAGGCTGGGGCACCCTCACCGTGTGTGTGTGTGTGTGTCTCCATCTAGGTGGGGAAAGCCATGTCCTCCAATGAGACGGCAGCGTATGAAATCATGAGGTCTCTGGATGTGGACTATGTCCTCATCATCTTCGGTGGCGTGATTGGCTACTCGGGCGATGACATCAACAAGTTCCTGTGGATGGTGCGGATCGCCGAGGGGGAGCACCCTAAAGACATCCGGGTAGACACACGCAGCATCTCTCTGGACGGTCTTTTAAGGTTTGTGTTGGATTCACCACTTCATCGTTTCCACCTCTGAACCCAGGAGAGCGACTACTTCACCCCCCAGGGAGAGTTCCGGGTGGACAAAGCCGGCTCCCCCACTCTGCTCAACTGCCTCATGTACAAAATGTCCTACTACCGCTTTGGAGAGATGCAGGTACAGGTTTCCCAGATGCTTCCTCGTTACTCAGTCTTCACCTTCACCTTTCCCTTTTCATCTTTCTGCTGAAGTTGGACTTCCGGACGCCTCCGGGCTTTGACCGGACGCGCAACGCCGAGATTGGCAACAAGGACATCAAGCTGAAGTACCTGGAGGAAGCCTTCACCTCGGAGCACTGGCTGGTCAGGATCTACAAGGTCAAAAAGCCGGAGAACAGGGACCGCATGGAGCACAAGCTGAGGCGCACCGACGCCAGCAGGCAGAAGTACGCCTCTAAAAAGGTACGCCTCCTCCTCCTCATGGACGCTGTCCGTTATCGGACTCAGGAACTCACTGCAGATGGTCTCAGAGACCTGCTATTGTCCAGCTTCATCTAAGAACGAATGTTTTATAAAGTACGTTTCAGGGTGCTCCAAACCCGAGCCCACAGCCCGGGCTTTCACTGGTTTAGCCGAACGGACCTTCGACACCGGCGTCCTCGGCTCTTTAGGTTGAAACGAAACATGCTTTCCTGAAAGAAGGAAGATTGTTTATCAGGGTTAGGGTTCTGTAGTCTCCTCACCACGGGGTGCCACACATGGATGTGACATACAGCAGCGTTCTCGTGTCGTGAAGCTAGCTGAAGCTGACAGGAAGTTGGTAAGAGCTGCTGGACGTAAAAAGGAAGATGACACTAAAGCAGCGTCTCAGCCTGACGTAGGGAATGTGCCGGCGGTGCGTCTGCTGCGGCTCTCCAAGCTGCAACAAGGATAAAGTTTAACACACGAGCGAGCTTCTTGGTGCGGTAGCTGTTGCTAGGTGACGGGACGTCCGCCGTAGTGGTGGCGGGACTATTCTCTAAGGCTGTTACCACGCTCTCCCGGGGCCGATGAGGATGGTACTCGTGTGCTACCCCGGCCATCGTCGCCCGCTCAGAGAACAGCCGGCATCGATGATGTCATCTTTAGTCGACACGATAGACCAGTCCAGCTAGAAAACACACCTGTCCTCCACTGTTGTCTGTGCGGCTGGTCGGTGCCGTGAGCCGTCACCGCTCACCGAGACGCAGAAGCATTTTCTATCGTTTAACTTTTCAAACAAACTAAAAATAAAAGAAACTTGTGATTGTTTTTAAATCTGACTTTGTTCTGGTTTCTGTCAGACGGCCAAGAGGAGGAGGGGCTTCGTCAAGAATAAGCTGTCCCTGAAGAAGGGCAAGAGAGGCACCAACAAGTCGTTATAGGAAGTCTCACACACACACACACACACACACACACACACACACACACACACGACAATCCTACACAAAATGTCATCAGGATGGTCCAGCGAGAGACCAGATCAGCCTGGGGTTCTGGTTCTGAAGGTCCAGGATGCTAACAGTACCAGCCTGATCTGAAGCCAACGTGCACTGAGGGAGATGCCAGCCCCTCCACACCGTTTTTACCTGATGAACCGTGACCTTTGACCTTTCCTTTTGTACTTGCCAATGCTGGACATGAAGGGAGACGGAGCAGAGCTGTCCTTCACCCAGGGACTCGTTACAGACCGAAGGTCCTCGTCCATCTGGGCACAGTTTCATCCACAACACCGCTGTTCTAGCAGCCTCTTCACTGATGCTCAGATTTCCCAGAATGCAGCAGATCAAAATGATCAGAAACGGACTGAATGACGCTTCAGAAGGTCGTCTCCCCTCTGCAGCCGCCGCTCTGATCCCATCGAACAGTTCTGAGACATTCTGGCTTCATGCAGACATCCGATTGGCTCGTTTTCACCTGTCTGCCCGTTCCCGCCTCTGCGAGAGCTGGACAGGACCTAGAGCAGATTTTCGTTGGTCTGATTCTTCCATCAATTGTAATGAGGAGGGTGCAGGTGTGAGAATGAAGCGCGCCTTTGGAATAAAGAGGTTAAAATAACTCGTCTCTGAGATGTTTGGGTTCATTCCTCGGCACCAAACGGGTTCAGGAGCGCGGGAGGAGCCGCCGTGGCTCAGGTTAAGAGTTCTCCCTGTAACCGGTGGGTTGCAGGTTCAATCCCAGGCTACCATCGGCGTGTGAATGGATGAATGTTTCACTGTAGGGTTTGGAGTGCTGTTGGGCTGAATGCAGAAAACTATCAGAAAGCTTTAAATTCTTTATTGTTTCTATCAAACGTTGCAGCAAGACCGACCGTTAAAATTCATTATTCACACTCAAACGGACCACGAGCCTGAAGCTAACGGAGGAAAACGGAACACCACGATTCCCAGTCCCAGAAGTGGTTTTACTGGAAGGTGACCAGTAAGACCTGATCTCCAAACAGCTGCAGGTGAAACCAGCACCAGAGGAACGTTCATGACTACATGAATCACTGGGAGGCTGCTCCACAGAGAAGACCGGCTCATCCCTTGGGTTTAGCGGTTGACTCCTGGATGATTGACAGGTCAGAGGTCAACATCTGAATAAGATCAGCTAGTGAACTGGTTAACAGCAGCCAACGTTAAAGACCTTCATGAAATCTGGAGAGCTGCTGATGTTAAAGTAGAAGGTCCGACTGGTGGGCAGGAGAACCGCAGCAGGAACGGCGGTTCTGGATCTCAGGAACGTGCCGGCTTGTTTCTGATGTACAGATACTGAGTCTGGAGATGAAAACGGAAACCGGTCGGTTCCTGTTGATTTAGCTCTTGTGGTGCGTTCACCGACACAAGAAAATCAGTTTTTAGAGTTTCACGTAGAAACGTAAATCAGCCATCTGGATGCCCTGAAGGCAGCGGCTAAAGGACGGAAACACGGTTCACACGGGACGGCTGCAGCAGCTCAAAATATTTACAAGCTAGTTTACATCTCGGGCAGCATCAGTTCACTTCAGTCCTCCTCATCCTCGTCTCCTCCAAATGACAGGAGGCTGTTGTTTTTTACTTTACTCCCGGTTTTCCCCTCCTCCCCCCCTTTTCCTGCTTCACTCTTCTTCTTCTTGCTGGAAGTGGCAGTGATGCCTTGGAACTTGTCTGAAGAGGAGCGCTTGGCCGGCTTCTTGAACAGGATTTTGCCTTTAGAAGGGGCCTCGCTACCTGTGGGCAGAGCGGGAGTGAGTAAGAGTGTGTGTGTGTGTGTGTGTGTGTGTGTGGTAACCACAGTCTGACCTGCTGCATCTACTTGATCGTCCTTTCCATCCTTAATCGTCTTCACCTCCTCTGCAGTCAGATCTCCACTCTTTAGAACCACAACTTGAGGTAACTCGTCCTCTCGATCGCTCCCGCCGTCATCGTCCAGATCTGGCATCACCTGGCGCTGAGATGCAAACCGGAAGGTAAAACCTACAGTTCTGATTTTGATCCTGAAAGACTTCTTCTGTATCAAACTAATTTCACAATCAGCGTAAAACCAAATGTAGTTTTGAACTCTCACCAAACCACCCCGGCCTCTAAACCTGGCCAGTGGCCCAGTGGTGTGAGTGTATGATTGTAGTGGGAGGCCGGGGTTCAAATCCCGCTCGGGTCACACCCAGGACTAGTGGGACCTCCCTGCTTGACACTCAGCATTAAGGGGTTAAACCACCAAATAGTTTCCGAGCGCAGCCATAGCTGCAGCTCACCGCTCCCCACGCGGACGGGTCACGTGTAAAGTCACCGCTATGATGATGACTAACGGGACTAACTAGCTGTGATGCTGGGTTAACAGCTGATGAGTCTCACATCCCATCTGAATCAGAGGTTAACCAGCTGGTGACGGAGTCCTGTTTACTCCGCGCAGGTAACCCAACCCTACCTTCGTGTCGACGTTGGGTCCTTCTTTGAAGCCGACGTCACTTTTAAACTTGGTGAGGAACGACGGTTCCGCCGGTTTCACCCACGAAACCCCGCTGCTTCTGTTTTTATTCATTAGAAACGGCACAACAACCACGAGCTACGGGCTAACGCGACTTCCGCACAAAACACGGAAACCACGCGATAAGACGCGCGGCGGGTCACGTGACCCTCACGAGCAGCTGTGATTCGTGCATTCTTAAGTCAACCGGAATAGAAGACTTTCAGAATAAAGGTTGGAATTGTTTCGGCTTAAACTACTGGTGTTTAGACTGAAAGTGCGGGTTTGATTATGCGTGTTTGCCATTTGGGGAAAACAGTTGATTTATAAAAATGATGATAAACAAGACTTGATTTATTTAGAAACTGCAACTGAGTAAAAAAGATGAATTTCCTAGATATAACCTAAACACATTTACATGTTGCACATTAGAAAAACATACAACATAAACTTAGTATTACAGAATATATCAGCGAACTGAGCAACAAATATTTTCTCCTGGCTTAAAAATGTCAGTAACGCCAAAACGTGATTCAAATAAGACCTTTATTGTGAAATCTCACCGCACCTGCCCACATGGGATGACAAACTTCCGTTCAGGTGGTGCTTGTAGTTCCAAGTAGTCTTGTTACTGTACTACTTCCTCTGAGATGCTTTGCGGATCTCTCTACGCGCTGTTTGCGGGTTTTCTGGGCGCCGCAGCGTCTCTGTCCGCTAAGCTGTCCCTGGGTCCCGCTTACCTGCAGGAGATGTGCGACTCCGCGCTGCGCGGCTGGTCTGAAGGAGCTTCCGTCTGCGGATGGGTAATAACTACTTTATTAGATCTTACAGCTTCCGTCTTGCAGATCTCTGACTTCGCAACTTTTCTGGAGTCTTGTTGAACCTTCTTCCGGTGTGGAACAGGTGCTGCGCACAAATGTGTTCCCCGTGAAAGACTGGTCTTCATTTCCAGCCATGGGGGGTGTTTCCTGGTTAGATCTGCTACAGAAGCTAGCGGAAACACTTTTCATTCCTCTCAACAACGTCCTAACATGGTGTAGCTGTAATCATGTAACGGAGACAAAAACCGGAATAAACGGTGAAGCACCGATCTGTTACGGTCTAAAGAGAAGGATACTGAACACCAGGGGAACACATTTCGATTAAACACCGGAAGTTTTGTCCCTGCTTTCAGATGCACGTGCCCCTGCGGTTCTTGTGTGGAGGTCTGCTGCTCTGCTGTAACGCGGTCATGTGGACCATGTTCTCCAAGGCTCTCCGCCATGCCTCCTCCTCCGCGGGGGCCACGGTCACCACCACGGCGTCCAACTTCATCTGCTCGGTCAGCGTTTGTCTGTCCTGTCCTCGCTCACGTGCTCCAGGTGAAAGCGGTCCCGTTCACGTTGCCTCTGCTGTGATTGTGTCCAGGGACTCCTGGGGAGGCTGGTCTTCAGAGAGACACACACCTCTCTGTGGTGGGCAGGGATCTCACTCACCTTGTGTGGCCTGATGGTTCTCCATGCTGCTGCACCAGAACAACAGACGCCCCAGGAGGACCGCAAGGACATCTAAAAAGACTTCAGGGTTACCTCCACCGGCTTCTCCTTTGTTTTCTACAGGCTACCTGGATAGTCACCTGACTGGCTGTCCTGTCAGCTGTTGCTGTGAGGACAGGACTAAGACATGACTTGTCTCACACAAACTCTGTGGATCTGTTCTCACCTGACAGGTGTGAGGGAGGCGTTACTGTGTAATGGCTGCTGTGATGCTTTTATTTGTCCCCACCAAGTGCTGGTTGTGAGTAGCCCCAGTGCGAAAACGTACCGGAAGTGTGATGAACTCACTAGTTTAGCTCACTTCACCACAGCGCCGGATGAAGGTGGGATCAGCTCCACCAGAGCTCGTCCGTTAGCTGGTGTCCCTAAACCAACCCGCTGCTGCATCCCTGTTCCAGACATGGAGCAGGCATTACAGGAATGAACGCTTTATTTGGTTTGAAAATACAAAATATAACTTTGATGGAAAATTACAAAAGATAAACACAAAAGAGCTACATTAAAAACAAGGTTCAACATAAAGAGAGGCAGCCAGCCGGTTCTGGACAGAACTTCACACCACAGGACCGGAAACGTCAGACGCTCGAGGTTTGTGAACAGCCTCGAGTAAACTTTGATATGAAATTAGAATCGGTTATAATAAACTCAGAGGTTTCCTTTCTGTGGCGTGTGTTTTTACCAAAGGCAGATAAAACCAGTTAGTTACCGTGGCATCCACAACCGTCAGCTGTTAGAACAGCAGCTTAGGTTTGATGCTAAATAAAGAGTTGTGGTCCTGGGGCCTCATTTGTGAAGCGTGCTTATGCAAGAAACCAGGTCTGAAAACGGCACGAGTCACTTTCTACCTACACGCTGATTTCTAATGAAGCACTTGATGAAAAAACGCGGGAACTTTAAAGAGCAAGTCACCCCCAAATCACCCTTTTTTCCTGATAAACTATATAAATGCAGTTTCCAGACCGTTTTGGGTGTAAACAAGCATCATAAAGGAGGTCCCAGGATAAGGCACAGGATGAGCGTAGTCCTTAGTGGTGTTCTGAAGAGGCTCACTTCTCTTCTGCTCACTGGGATGTGGGATGGGTGTGCATCATTTCTCACCACAATCAAACGCAGGGGGTGTTTCTCAATGTCAAGAAACCTTGCCTTGATGTCTTGGCCCCGCCCCGGTTGCCTAGGAGATTTGTCATCAGGAGCCGCCATGATGTATTCCAATCGATTCCAGTGTTCATGTTCTCCGTTTGTTAGCCGTTTAGCTAGCTGAGCAAGGACACACAGGAGGTGTCTTGTAGCCTAGCCTTGGTCTAAAATTACCCAGAATACACCGCGGTATTTTCAAAAGGATGATGGGTCAGAAGCCGGCAGCTACTTCAGGGACAATTTTCAAGTTTAAAAGTAAGTCAAATAATTTAAAATGTGTTTTTAGATCCAAAGAAGTTATCTATGGTTGGTTAGTTGCTTGGGTTAGGGTTAGGGCCTCGCAAGGCCAGGCACCTTGACACTGAGAAACACCCAAGGGCTGCAGGGTGCAGACACCCATCGTGGCGTTGGCTGCAGCCGAGTGGAAACTGGGTGGGTTTCAGTCATGGACCCTTATCCGACCCTACAGCAGTGATGTTGGCGCTCTGCAGAGGTCGGTGTGCTGAAGAGCCTGATGCTAGTGCCGCCGACTCAGTGGCTACCACAGCTAAATGTTAGCGCGCCAACGTTCTTCTCCGACACAGATGACCTGCTGGAAGCTGGGCTGCTGCTACACAGTAATTGGCATTGATGCTAACGCAGGCTCGTGTTAGTGTTTCTGGAAGCAGGATGAAAAGAATGTGAAAGTAAAGGTAGCTGGTTGACAACTGGGCATACTGGTTTAACAGGTTAGGGAGCATGGTGAATGTGGAGATATTAAAGCTGTCTACATTGTGAAAAGAACCTGAAGCAAACGCTACGCACTAGCCTGGCAAGCTATCCTATATAGTGAATATGGTTCCAGTTCGCTAGGCTAGCTAATCGCTGTAAAACACCTACAGCTCCTCCCGCTTCAGGAAACTCGACGCCGCCTTTAAGGAGACGGCGATAAACATGTTTCCATCACGGGGACAGGAATGATGTCAAATAGTTAAGCAGTCTCTTAAACACCTGATGGGCTTTGAAGCCCTCCTCACTAGCTGAGTGGGATCTCGATGACGTCCTCCTCGATGATGTCCCCCTGCGGGACGGTGATGTGCTCTACTGGGTCCGGTTTGCAGCTCAGTGCAGAGAAGGGACTAAACCAGGACGGAGAGAAGGAACCTCCAAATGCTGTCTTCATGGCCTCCCAACATGGCACCTTCCCCCACTTCCCCGTCTCCCCCTTCAGACGCTCGATCCCCTGAAGAGGACAGGACAGTGAGTCTCCGGTTGGAGGGCAGAATGCTCACATTCACAGCTACATCCCCCACCCACCATGGCGCCAGACAGGGCTGTGGCATGTTCGGCTCTACATCCGACTGGATGGTTTTTGGGTCCATGGTCCAACCAAATCACACTAGCTGTTAGCTCATCAGTCCTGGTTAGTGTCAACTCTTAATTTCTGAATAAAAATGTTTGTCTGCGATGAGTAAAGTATCTCAGAAGGTTCAAAAAGGCTCAAATGTCCAAAGAAACATGCCCTCTGACAGGAAACCGTAATGGAGACGGCTTTATGAAAACGTCTTTAGCTTCAGTGAACACGAATGTCTCCAACAGCAGGTCAGTACAGACACCCATCAGCGGCTCGCTATCCAATTAGCCTTTAGTCAAACATGCCACACGCGTACAAAATGGCTCACATGCATCTGAAATAAACGAACGTGCATTTTATTCTGCACAGAACTCATTCATTCACATGGTTTGGTTGAACTTCGAGCTGCATGCTTGAGAAACGGAGACGTGAGCTCCTCTGCAGGCTTACCTGGGTCAAGTTTCTAAAGATCAGTCTGGGCAGTTATCAACCAAAGCAGAATGCATGAGTGTGGAGAAGACACTGCATAGGAAAGAGGCAGATTACAGACAGGGGCGGGGAGATTACAGGGCGTGCAGGTCATGTGAGAAACAAGCTGAGCCACCCCCCCCCCCCCGTCAGCACGACGTTTAGGAAGAACGGAAATTTCTGTAGACAAACAATCCAGGTTTTGATCGTTGCACTGGTGTTTCACAGCCCCCATATCACCATGGAGACGAGAAGAAGAGTCTAAACCTCCCACACCCCACCGAGGGTGGGTGCTTGTCCCAGCTGATTCCCACACTGACAGGAAGTGGCGGCGGTCTTTTCAAGCCCAGGTTGGGGTTTTTAAAGCAGTCATTGTAAATGTGATGAAACCCTGATAACTGGTCACCAGAACAACACAGCATCAAAGTGGGAAAACCAAAAGCTTTATTAGCAAATAAACATGAAGTAGCAAACCTTCTACAAGCAGAACGGTACAAGAAGAAAAGGGATTTAGCCACAATACAGCAGGCAGAAGTGATGATCCCTGCTGCTGCTTTACTTCACATTTACCTCGACCAACATAATTATTCTTTACATTTCTGTTCACACTAGCAGGGCGACGGTCTGCACTCATCAACACAAACTGGGACATTTCTCATGGAGCAGCAAAACGCTGGAAAACCCAGATCAACAGAACTGTTACAGCTGCTGCCAGTGGCTTATTTAGATCACCATGGTAACCACACACAACCCAACAGCTGCTGGACGGATGGAAACCAGAAGTTGTTAACCTTGAATGCTGAGCAGCCGGAGGTTCTGATGTTGGAGATCCAGATAAAGTCTACGGAAGCCTGGGAGGGGCCTCTGTGTCCACTGAGGAGATGTGAGAGGAAACCGCCTGTCCTGCTGCGCTCTCATACAGATTTATGTTATAGATGTAGCTCAGGAGAGTCTGATGGCTAAAGATCAGAACTTTCCACGTGTAAAACATCAAATGACCCTGGATCTGCGTAGCCTGAGTGTGATTAGCATTAGCTGAACATGCTGTAGAACCAACACCTGCTCAGGTGAGAGCGGCGACTACACATCTCCTCAGACCAGAGAGGAGGAAGTCGTAGTGCTGCAGTGTAACCCGTCACCACACATCTCCTGATGTAATACATAACGGTTTGGTAGACGGCGCTGGTTCAGCTAAACCACAACAGCTGTTTCCCTTTCACTTCGCTGAACTCTGACCTTGTCTTGTGGGAAAACGGAAGGCTTTATTTAACGGAATGTTTCCTGAGATTCCCGACATTCACCATGGGAAAAGGTCTGCCGAGACTCGAGCAAAGTCCCGGTGGTTGTGAGGAGTGTCCCCGAGCTGAGAACAGCACCGAAGCCTCGTTTACACGTCTGCGGCGGTACGGAGACACGGAACGCCGTGGGGCTGCAGGGGGGGTCGGACACATGTCCAGCCTGTGATCGGTTAGCATGCGGCTTCCTTTAAATCCAATCAACAGCCGACTTTAAATTCATGAAAGGAAATTACGGAAACGTGGATTTGGAAGTGGAGGAGAATGAGGGACAAGTTTGTCATTATTAAAGTCTCTGAAATGCATAAAGACAATAAAAATACAAATAAATACGCATCCATGGACCAGAGGCGTGCCTGCCATGGTGGCGGGATGAGCTACACCCTCTGATGTCCTGGTGGGGAATTGCTTTGCAACACTCCCCCGTTAACAGGAAGTCTTAAAGGACAACGTGTCCGTCAGTCCGCCCTCGAGCTGGTGGAGGAGCATGAACCAGGGCGTGGTCTGGAAACGCAGCAGCAGGGACAGGAAATAAAACGTTTGCTTCTCCTGTTTGTAATTTAGCTGAACCAACTCTAAAGACCAGCAGATAAAACAGAATATTTCAGGTGAAGCAGAGAAGATTCATCACAGTGTTGGCAGACAGGACTCAGACCGACAGCTCGTCTCTGCGGCTGGATCAGCAGCAGCAGGAGGCGGATGACACCGAGTAGGAAACAGAAGGCAGATGAGGAGCTGTCCGTGGCCGCCCCTCACACCACATACTGGTAGGTCTCAGCCTTGCCATGGTCTGGGGTGGAGAAGGGGCTAAACCACATTAGGGAGAACTGGTGTCCAAAAACCGCCCTCATATTCATCCACTTAGTTTTTTTAGCCCATCTTCGCTCTTCCTTTTTCAACTGCTCTATGCCCTGAAAATGAGAGACAACCAAACTTCAGTGACCCTCCTGCAGCATCTCTACAGACAGACTGGCCCCGCCCCCTCAGACTTCCCTATGCTCACGTCTGACATGCATGCAGGTAGGGCTGCTCAATTAATCGAATTTTAATCACGATTACGATCTGAGTTTTGGACGATTATAAAAAACAAAACAAGCCGATTATTTGCTCCTCCCGCCTGCGCTGCCCTGAGTTACAAATGAAGCGCTCCTCCACAGTGTTGCCAACTTAGCGACTTTGACGCTATTTCTAGCAGCTTTTCAGACCCCCTTCTTGACTTTTTAATCCTAAAAGTACCTGGCGAACACCTCAGAAACATCTCTGGTAACCCTTAGCTACTTTCTGGATAACTGTCGTCGACATTTCCTGCAAGTTAGCTAAACACTCCGCCTGCTCTCCGGACCGTTCTTCAGGACATTAGGAAAGGGAATGATGAAGTGATGTGTCGGTCGCTAAAGAAACAGCTCTCGGAGCCGGCTCCCTGTTGGAGTAACCAGAGTGAGTGACACACACACCATACCTGCGGACTCCTGAGCCTCTAAAAACGGCTAAATGTGCGCGTGCGGCGTGCTAAACACACGTGCAGCTTGCCCCGATTGCTGTGAGACCGGGTTGGGGGGTGGGGGGTGCAGCTGTGGTTGGGACAATTATTACATTAACTGATGGACTTGTAAATAAATAGTTTATAAATAAGGTAGAAATAAGTTCCTCACGCTGATAATTAATAACTAATCTCTCTGAGGACACGGTGCTAGTGCACGCTCCTACAGCACCTTGACACGACTCAGTAAATGTTACGCAACATTTTGTGAACATCAATTTATTTGCATTTATTTGTTATAAATGCCACTGTATAATTCTTGCTGTCAGTATTTGCAAGATATTGGTATTTGGGTCTGTACTGGTTAGACTTACATGAGTTAAACCAAGGTCTATAGCCCTTGGGTCATAGACTATGAGCTATAAGTATATTGGTCTTTTTATACTGGGAATCAGGAGTTATTTTAGTGATCATCTTGTTTCTTATTTTTGTCCTGATTGTGCCCTGAGCAATTTTATGACAGAATAAAAACAAATAAAATCAACATAAATTGAAAAATCGTCCTAAATAATCGTGATCTCAATTTCAGTCATCATAATCGTGATTATTATTTTTGCCATAATCGAGCAGCCCTATATGCAGGCGTGAAGATGTCACACCTCCGGTTCGGAAGGTTAAACCAGGAGGAGGTTGGTTTGGAGTGACCGGGCTGGACCCCCACCCATCAGCTGATCAGATAACCTTACGCACCACCGACAGGTCAGGTTACTCACTGAGAGGGAGGAGTTTGGACAATGTGGAGAAGTACACGGAAGATCAAGGCTCTTTACATATCACCCTTAAAGACCAAGTTCACTGAGAAACCGTTTTTACGCATTTGTGAAATCTGATTGGTCGCTGAGTTTAACATGCAGGCTACAGGTGAAACTAGTCTTCCACCCCTATTTCCTGCATTAGCCGTCAACAGAAAACAGAATTTTGCATATGCTGTTGTTACTTCGTCTGGTTCCCTCCCGCTAGCGTTAGCTCACCGTTTTGATTGCTATAGGCTAACTGGAGGAATGACAACACACGAGAGCACATGGCGCCACCTACTGTAGTGGAGTGGAACAAACTTCATTTGAGTTTGGTTGTCTAACATACGTGTAAACTTGGATAAAGGCTCCCAGTTTATTGCCACAGATCGACTTAAGACGCACACGTAAATGCACGTCTCAGCTAGTAGAAGCTAACCGTTAGCATTAGCAACTCCACCACACAGCAGAACTCCTCCAGGCTTGTGTTATTTGTGGAGATTAAACATCAGCGTTGCAGAGCAAACAGTCAGTGGCAGAGTCGCGTTTCTGTTAGCCAATCAGTGGAGAGATGTGCAGATATCAGGAAGTAAGTCTCTAGATCCTGTCATCTTTTGCTCACCTTTCCACTGACTCACTTCTAGCTCCTGAAACAGGAACACCAGAGCTTTTCCCCACGGAGAACGACTCACAAGGCATTCAGCAGTCTGATGGCCTTTTCCATCAGGCCATCAGACTGCTGAACACTTCACAGACACCTCACAATCACTACTGAAACTCCAACATTACACACTCCATACTGTACATTAATGCCACTGTTTTGCACATACCAGCCTCTGTATATTTTATATCTCTTATCTAATTGTTTACTTTATTCATTTGTATACTTAGATTAGCCATTTTTATATTTTACTTGTTTTTACATTACTGTATTTTTGCATAACTGTTGCTGTGAAGCTCGCACACACGAATTTCACTCGCATGTACTGTACCAGTGTACCTGCACATGTGACGTGACAATAAAAGTGATTTGATTTGATTTTGATTTGATTTGAGTTACACCGGAGGCCACTGCAGATGTGTTGAGAAAAGGAACTTGGTCCTGAAGGAGGCATCGAGTCTTGTATCATTACAGCTTCATTTACGTTAAAGCTGTTATGGCAAATCTGCAGAACAAGCTAGCTTTTGAATGCTAACGCGGTCATGAAGCTCTCACCCTTGGAACCAGAAACCCGCATTTCCAGAGGAAACGAGACCGCGCTCAACACCAGTCTCCGTTTTCTAGGTCCAAACGTCTTCTGTTGTCCGTGACTTCAGACGGTGGTTTTCTTTTTGGGACTCTGGTGGTTTGTCCTGAAGCTGAAGTGGTAGCAGCTGCTGTTTCTCCTCCTCTGATGTTACTGAGCGGAGAACCTCTCACCAGTGGTGTTCTGCTGCTGAACACGTGAGTGTGTGATGAGTGGAGGACCCGGGGAGGTGTGGCGGTTCTGAGACCAACAAATGGACCAATAGTTGGTTTGGGTCTGAAACGTGTTCTTGGAGGTTTTTAATGACTTGTTTTTTCATCCTTACTGTTTAGAGCTACACTCCGTTAGAAAGAGGTTTGAAAAAATCATGTTTTAAGTTTTAGTTTTCCAAATGTGCCATCGCAGCTTTAAATAGTCTTAGCCTGTGTAATTTAAATATGTTGAATTTATGCGTCGGCCCACCTTCCCCTGGGCTGAGGGACCGGAGAGCAGTAACTCGTGTTGCTATGGTAACTGAAGAGCAAACTTCAGAGACCTCACAGAGTCTAGCATGTGTGGCAGGACTGTCCAGACTAGGAGCTCATCACAACATCAGCATCCTGCTTCCTGAGCTCCAACAGGGTTAGGGTTAGGGGGTGAGAAGGTAGATGGTAGCAGCATCAGCAACATCTTCTCACTAACGAAGGTTTGTGACTTTGCTGTGATGGTGTAGGTCATGAAGACCACAGTGGGCCATCATCCAGGGTTCTAGTGGGAACGGGACTTCACACCTGACTTTTACACTCACTGGCCACTTCATTAGGTACATCTGCTTGGCCTTCTGACACAAATGCAGCTCAAACAAGTAACGAAACGTTCTGAAGCTGCGTATCCGTACTGATGTGGAATAGGTCATGCATCAGGAACAACAGGACGCCACATCCTCTGATGAAAAAGCACCAACAGGCTACAGAGATCTCACTGCTGAAATGTTACTGCAGCAGGTCAGGATGGAGAGGAGGAGGTTTAAGGGACAGGACGTGGCGTGATGTTGGTACCAGACTGTCTGGTCTGAGGACTCTAGCGCAGCAGCCGTGTGGATGGAAAGTTCTCGTTGAGTTCAGGTCAGAGGGGACCGGTTCTAGATTATAGCTCAGATCACCACTGGTTCCTACAGAGGTCAGTAGAACCTCACCAGCTGTTCCAGATGGACTCTAGAAGCAGAGGAGCACACCAGGTGTCTCTCCTGTCAGCTAAGAACAGGAAGCAGAGGCTCCAGTTCCCACAGGATCACCAGAACCGGACCAGAAGAGACTGGAAAACCCTCTCCTGGATTTGGACCACATCCTAATTCTAACCCATCATCTGATGCTACTTCCAGCAGGATCATGCACCATGTCACAAAGCTCACATCATCTCTAACTGGTTTCTAGAACATGACCATGAGTTCACTGGACTCCAGCGGTCTCCACAGCCCCCAGATCTCAGTCCAGTCCAGAACCTTTGGGATGTGGTGGAACGGGAGCTTCTCATCAAGGAGCTGATGCTGTCATGTCAAGATGGACCAGAACCTCTGACGGACACTTACAGCACCTTGTTAAGTCTATGATTACAAGAATTAAAGTGGTTCTGAAGATGAAGGAGCGTCCAGGCTGGTAGTAGCAGGGTGTTCCTAATAAAGTGTCTGCTGAGTATACTTGTGACACCTCTGGGCAGAGGCTGTCCTCTTGGAAATGACACGGATAACAAGCTAAAACTCCCGGACCTGAGAGGGTCCGACACCAGAGGTGAGAACAGCTGTAAACGACGCAGACGAGCAGCTAAAGCCGAGTTAGAAACACGTCTCACACTCACAAAACCACACGGCGACCTGGAGGCGCTGCCCAGGCACCAGGCTTCAGTCCTCTACTGTTGTCTGCAGTAAAAGTGTAAATAAAAACATCTCACGTGAGATTTGGGTTCTTACTTCAGCAGATTTTACCGTCGATGTAATAAATAAAACATTCAACCACAGAAGCAACAAGTTCCCCTTAAAGGTAGTTTCAGCTTCGTCTCTAAAGATCGAGAGTTCAGCGTAACGAACCTGCTGGGCGTCTCATTGTTACTTAAAGGTTGATTTAGATGATTAATGCAAAGACTGAGGAAGGGAGGGAGGAGCCACTTACAGTTTCATCCGTACAGATGGAGTGGACTTGGGTGCCGAACATCACAGAGGTGAAGATGAGGAAGAGGAGGCCCTCAAAGCACAGGAGAATGAGGAGGATGATAGTTGCTGGAGGAGAGAAGGAACTGCACTCTGGGTAATTGAGAGACATGGGAGTGAAAGGGTTTTTATGATGAATGGCATCAATATGACCAATATCAAACAGGTGGAGGCCCTAAAATGAACACATGAACTCTACGATTACATTTCTCTCCTGTTCTTCATCTGGCCGCTGAGATCAACTCCTCTTCCAGCCATCCGGTGCTGTTGCTAAAGGAGCTCTTCAGAAGTTCTGGGGCGATCTTTGCACTTGGTGGTTGGCTGCTCTTTGGCTAATTACTGATAAAATACCCTTAATCGGTCCACTCAGCGCTCAGGTTGTTCCCCTGATCAACGCGACGGCGGGCTGCCCGAGCACCGCGGCGCTGCAGGACCTAGCACCGTGAACCCGAGACCAAGCCATGCCACTGTTTGGTTTGCCTTGTTGATGTATTTTGTATCCGATGATGTTAATATTTTGTTGAATTTGCTGATGCATCAATAACAACCAGGGACTCTAACAGCTATAATATGCTACACATGAAGCTAACCTTCCTTCTGGTTACGCAGCAGGCTGCAGTCGGGTTCCAGCCTGTTACCCCGGCACGCTAGTCTACACATCTAGACCACCTGTAGAAGCTGCTTAGCAGGTGGGTCCAGCCACGCTCCACTGTAGTCTCAACAGCTCCACATTGGCTCGGCTACGTTTAGGCTGGGTCAGCCACAGCGCTCCACGTTTGTAGAGACGTTGGGCGGGCTGAGCTCCACTACGGGAGACCACTGCAGAGCTAAAGATGAACCAAGACCCAGGTTGTGTTGGCCTGACACCAGGAGGAGGAGAACGGATATCACTTTTCTGTATCCTTACCAACTTCAAGGTCTCCTCACGAGACATCTCCACAGGAGACGAGAACGTTCTAGCTCATAGATGATTGTTGACATTAAACACTGAATGTTTTATCTAAAGTGTTTTAGTGTCTTGACTGCTTTACATGAATGGATGAATCACCATAAACGTTTATTCTTATGAAGCTTTTCTTCAGATCCTAAATACACAAATGTAATGTAATAATGATTAATTATCCGTATTAATAAATCATATTAATGTTGGCAGCTGAGGAAGGAGTGACGGCCTGGGTGATCGCCCGTTTACACGCGTTAGATTTAGATTTGTCCAGAAATGTTCAGAGGTAGCATTTCCTCTTTTATTCAGTTCCTGCAGAAGCTTCCGCCTTACGCTGAAATGATCATCCCAGAGGAAATCTAGCCAGATCTTCCCGTGGAACAGTTTCAGCAGCAGAAAGAACCATCCTTTCAAAACCTGACGGTTTGCTCATCTACAAACATTCATCAGCCGTGGAACGGTCCGCCTGCAGCCGGGAGACGATCTCTGACCTGCTGGTGCGGATTCAGGGGAATACGGCCCGTGACGTCCAGAGGTTTGCTGAGGAGATCTTTAGCTCAGCAGGATCACCGAGGAGTCATCTGAAACACTTCTAGCATCAACTTTGGACACAGGCGTTTCTTAGAGAACTGAGCAGATAGAGGGACTTATCCAGGAAAAGGAAGTACTTGGTACTTCTTTCACCGAGTACGGCGAGCTGCCCCGTTCTGTCGCTATGAATACGTTACGTTATTCGTTACTCTGGCTGGTCCTGGCGCTGTCCAGATGCACGCAGAGATGGTTTTAAAGACAAGCGTAGATTCTGCTCCACGCCTGAGCTCCATCTACGGCCGTGGCCAGACTACAAGTAGGATGGCTAGCAGTACGCTTTCTTAAACAGCTGTATAAACAACGCTGTAAAAACTGATTGTAAAACAAGATGGCTGCTCTGCCGTGCACTTATTTTGGATCATGCAGGCTCTAATGTGGCTAGATTGGATTGGATTACAAAAAACTGTTTGTCCAAACATTGTGTTCAAATGAAGGAAGTCAGTGAAGGAAGTGGTAGAGATCAAGGTCAGCAGTAGACGAGATAAAAACATACTCACTTGTCCAATCATCTTCAAAGCAGTAAAGGAAATGAAATACCACCATGAGCAGAGTGTGGAGAGAGATGAGTGCAATGTACATCTACAGAAAATATAAAAATAAGACAAGAAAAATACATGACTACGGTCGGTTTGCTGTACACTCTACAGGACAGCTCTGTGATTGGTCGCTTTGCTGTACACTCTACAGGAGAGCTCTGTGATTGGTCGGTTTGCTGTACACTCTACAGGACAGCTCTGTGATTGGTCGGTTTGCTGTAAACTTTACAGGACAGCTCTGTGATTGGTCGCTTTGCTGTACACTCTACAGGAGAGCTCTGTGATTGGTTGGTTTGCTGTAAACTTTACAGGACAGCTCTGTGATTGGTCGCTTTGCTGTACACTCTACAGGAGAGCTCTGTGATTGGTCGGTTTGCTGTACACTCTACAGGACAGCTCTGTGATTGGTCGGTTTGCTGTAAACTTTACAGGACAGCTCTGTGATTGGTCGGTTTGCTGTAAACTTTACAGGACAGCTCTGTGATTGGTCGCTTTGCTGTACACTCTACAGGAGAGCTCTGCGATTGGTCGGTTTGCTGTACACTTTACAGGAGAGCTCTGAGATTGGTCGGTTAACTGTACACTTTACAGGAGAGCTCTGCGATTGGTCGGTTTGCTGTACACTTTACAGGACAGCTCTGCGATTGGTCGGTTTGCTGTACACTTTACAGGACAGCTCTGCGATTGGTCGGTTTGCTGTACACTTTACAGGAGAGCTCTGCGATTGGTCGGTTTGCTGTACACTTTACAGGAGAGCTCTGCGATTGGTCGGTTTGCTGTACACTTTACAGGAGAGCTCTGCGATTGGTCGGTTTGCTGTACACTTTACAGGAGAGCTCTGCGATTGGTCGGTTTGCTGTACACTTTACAGGAGAGCTCTGAGATTGGTCGGTTTGCTGTACACTTTACAGGACAGCTCTGCGATTGGTCGGTTTGCTGTACACTTTACAGGAGAGCTCTGCGATTGGTCGGTTTGCTGTAAACTTTACAGGAGAGCTCTGCGATTGGTCGGTTTGCTGTACACTTTACAGGAGAGCTCTGCGATTGGTCGGTTTGCTGTACACTTTACAGGAGAGCTCTGCGATTGGTCGGTTTGCTGTACACTTTACAGGAGAGCTCTGCGATTGGTCGCTTTGCTGTACACTTTACAGGAGAGCTCTGCGATTGGTCGCTTTGCTGTACACTTTACAGGAGAGCTCTGCGATTGGTCGCTTTGCTGTACACTCTACAGGAGAGCTCTGCGATTGGTCGCTTTGCTGTACACTTTACAGGAGAGCTCTGCGATTGGTCGGTTTGCTGTACACTTTACAGGAGAGCTCTGCGATTGGTCGGTTTGCTGTACACTTTACAGGAGAGCTCTGCGATTGGTCGCTTTGCTGTACACTCTACAGGAGAGCTCTGCGATTGGTCGGTTTGCTGTACACTTTACAGGAGAGCTCTGCGATTGGTCGCTTTGCTGTACACTCTACAGGAGAGCTCTGCGATTGGTCGGTTTGCTGTACACTTTACAGGACATCCCTGTGAAGGTCAATGAGATATCCATCTCAAACGACAAACCAACCAATCACATCTTCTTCAGAATGATTTGTGATTTCACCCTAACAAGACTAGTCTGCTGTTTCTCAACTACACAAGACATTTTTCCACTTCTTCTCAACTGAAATAATAAAAAGAAATTCACTTACTGTGAAAAGCACAAAGTACTTTTGGTTGTTCTCTCCAACACAGTTGTTGACCCATGGACAGTGGTGGTCCATCTTGCGTATGCATCGTTTACAAACACTGTTGCAAATAGAGATAAGATACCAGAAGATAAGAGTTAAGAAAACAAAAAGCTATAAAGAGACGGTCTTCTGAAATACATTTTATCATCATCAGTGTTCCAGTTTTAGCACGATTGTTCCATAGGGGCAGAAGAAGCAGCTACTGATGATGTTTGGTGACAGAACGTGAGCTGTGGTGACCCTACTGGTGTTTCTGATACCCCACAGTGAGTCAACCTTTCCACAACACCAAAAGTCAGAATGAGATATTCTGACGGTCTGAAAAAGGCCTACATAAAAGACTGTGGCAGAGGTCGCCTGCAGCTGGTCCGGAATGCTGCTGCCAGGTTTCTGCATGTAGCATGGAAGTGGGACCGTGTTGCTCCCCTCCGAGCTGCTCTGGACCGGTGACCAGTGAAATCAGGTGTCCATTTCAAGATCCTGGTCTTTGTTTTGAACTCGTTGTCAGGATCTGCCGCACCATATCTAGCCTCAGCGCTGGTGGTTCGCGGTCGAAGCACAAGTCCAGGGGCGACCGTGCCTTTTCAGTTCTGGGTCCTCGGCTTTGGAACCAACCGCCTCTAGAAATAAAACCGTCCACATCGCTGCCCACTTTAAAGCTAGGCTTAAGGCTCATCTTCGCTCTATTTCTTAGTTTTTCTACTCATGTTTTAATGTTTTGATCATCGTAGTTTTGTTTTTTAGCCTTTATTGTTTTATTTCTGTCTTTTGCTATATAGCGCTTTTATTGTGTTTTAGTTGTTCTCTATGCCATCTCCAGCACCTTGGGCCCCTTTGACTGGGGGTAGGAAGAGGCTTCATAAATAAACTTGAACTTGAGTCAAGTGCCCTGCCTGACCACAGGGTTGCGTCCCGCTCAGCCTGCTGCGGTTGTTGTGTCCTTGGGCAAGGCAGTTACCCCACCACGCCTGCTGGTGTTGGTCGTAGGGAACGGTGGAAAATTAACAAATTCTGAAATTCCTAACCATCACTGATGTCATTTTCCTCGGAGATAAATTCAGTATTTAGAAAACACAGCAGTCTGGATGCTCGGCAGCACACGGCTCTTTGGATGACGACCTCATGTTCACACAGAGAGAAGCTCCGCCGGACAAAGGTGAAGCCAACGCGGAAGTGACAACTTTAGTTCCCCTTTCATCCACCAGTGGATGGTTCCAGATAGGAGTTAACTTTACGTTGACTCATGTCCCAAATAACAGCAGCACAGCAGAAATAAATACGTCTACAGCCTGGTACAAAAACATTATAACAGGTCAAGTTTATCACCATGACAACGCTGATGGGGTGATTTCTTTGTAACGTTTGTTATTAATACTTGAAATTATGAAAATGTTTGTAAATGTGAGTGACGGGCAGCAGATGAACCATCAGTGCTAGCAGCTAGCCTGCTGGTTGCTCCACAAAGGGCCTCAGCCTCATTTTAAAATGGTTACAGCCTAAAAGGCCAGGGGTCACAGAGTCACCCCCTCCGCTGCACTCCGCTCCGACACGAACACCGGAGCAAAATCGGTCCCGTTCTAGTCAATCAGAGCAACTCCACTACTGCGGCCGTGCTCCGGCAGTGCGGCGCCGTGCACCGCCCTCTGTTCCGGCGTCCGGCAAAAATAGAATCGATCCTATTTTTGCCGGACGCCGGAGCACCTCCGCAGTAAATGGACAGAAATCACAACGGCCCAACAGGAAAAGGAGCAAGCACAATTTCCGTTTTTCACAATAAATCGATAAACAAAAGGTGTTTTTTGTTTCATATGCACAGGTTTAACAACTTTTAACAACTATCAGTGGCGGCTGAAGTTTAAATGCACAAAAGTAAGCCATAAATACAGTTTCTACTATCAAAGTAGTCACACTTTGTTGATCCAAACACTGCTGACCTCTCAACACAAATGATGGGCGGATTAAACAGTTCATGCCGATGCTTCTCCCACACAACGGGTGTTTGGATCTAAAGCCTGATTTATGCTTCTCCGTCTGCGTCAGTGTGGAGACACGCAACGCCATTATCCGTCCTTGCGTAGGGCTCCGGCAGGCACGCAAGTACGTACGGAGTCGAGCTATCTTTTTTAAACATCCGTCGAACGAGACGGATTACGCAAGCTTGTGATTGGTCAGGACGCCGCAGTTGTTTACAGCGCCGCCATTGCAAAGAGAGCCGAGGGGAACTAGCGGCAGACACGGAGAAGTTTGAAGAATACCTTGCGAAAAAACTCTAAAAATATGAACGTTTCATTCTCCCGTGACTGGAGGAGTGAAAAGATTTGCAGCAAGCGTTTTATTTGTGGACGGAAATGACAGGAAACGTGGGTTTAGAGGTGGGGAGCGCATGAAGTGGTGGGAGAATGAGAGACAAATATGACTGTGTTAAAAGTCTCTTATATACACAAAAAACACAATATAAACACACTATCTTGGACCGATACATGACAGGATACCACAGAATAGCGCTACGCCCTCTGTTGTCCTGCCGGGCAATTGCTTTGCAACACTCTCCAGGAGACGGAGAAGTATGAAAGCAAAACGCTTCCGTCAATCTGTGCATGTCTGTCCCTTGCGGAGCTGACGGAGAAGCATAAACCAGGCTTAACTTCCGCGTTTATTGCTCGGACTGTATCGCAAGATCTCGAAAATCCCGCGCATGCTTGTTTGCCCCCCCTCAGGTCTCCGCACCGGAGCGGAGCCGTTGTAGAGCGGGTACCAGTAAAAACTGAGTTCGGAAGCGAGCGGCTGCGGAGGGCGGGGGCGGACCGGAGCGGAGGTAGTGGAATTTGGGGGTCAGGGTTTTCTGCCTAAAAGCACCTGCCAACCTCCGCTAGCTTCAGTTAGCTCAATTAGCTTGTAGCTACATCGGCTCACTATTTAATGGGTGTCAATGATCCGCCCCCACCCTCACAGCTTCATTTTTGAATTTTCCAGCAAGACATGTGATGCATCCAAGATGGCGGAGGTGGGAACGCCCACTGGGCTTCAATTCAGCTCTTCAGAAGTCTACGGGTGACGGCGTGGAGCGTTCATCCACCACATACACAATCCATGCACACTGCTTGCTCCCTCTCTCCTTTCCTCTCTAGCCAGGACGGTTAGTTTTCCCTTTAAGGCACGTTAACAAAATAGCAGACAAACCGGGATCTCCGTCTCATGGCCATAAAGTATGTCTAATTTGAGCAGTAAAACTCAAACAGAGGCATCACTGCAGGGCTCACAGCAAACAGCTGTTCACATGGAAGCCACTCGACACTGATATAACTGCATAAAGTTAGGAGGCACTGAAGACGATGCCTTTTCTGCTTAAATGGAGTTCATCAGTCTGACTGCAGCTTGTGACTAGTAGATGCATGACTAACACTTCACCCTCCCTGCCTGGCCTGCTGGTGGTGGTCCGATGGCGCGTATGCACGGCAGCTTCATTTATCATTTAGTAGAGTGAATGCCTCAATGCTGCAGCGGGTGATCCATGTTTTTTGTGTCCTACCTGCAGTGGTGTGCTCGGTCGGGCTTGATGCTGCAGCACTTGGGACATTTGTAGACCACCTGCCCCGGCTTCAGCTGGAGGCTTTCTATGTATTCTTTAGTAGCATTCCCTTTGGGCACTGCCCCCTGACAGAAAACACACAGATCATTGTTGTGTGCAGATCATTTATCATCGTAACGACAGGTTGGCACAAACTGAATGTATTAAGTCATGAATTCATGCCTAAAGTAAGTTACAGGACATGAAGAGTTCATACGGAGTCCGTGTACTTACAGGGTCAGTGCACATAGCCCTGAGGTGCGAGGTGAGAGCAAGAAAGGCCAAAGTGTTGAACAAAATCCCGTTTGTAATGCTGTACGAGAGGTTTTTGGAGGGTAGCAGCATTACAAACAGCACAACAAACTCAGCATAAAACACTAGCAGCCATGTGATGATGGAACACATGATGCCGCAGGTGTCCCTGATGAACCACATGGCAGAAGAAGAGGAGGAAGTAATGACGTCTTTGGCGATGGGGATGCGCTGTTCAGGCTGTAGGCAGTTGGACCCAGACCTGGTACCAGCTTGACCACGACCGTGTTCCACATCTCTGCACCTGTGCACCGGGCTCTTCATCCTTCATTGAACCTGGATGTTGTCGTTCCTGCCACCAGAGCCCCTGCACCTTCTGGCCTCAGTCAACACTCCTGCGGGTAAACAGAGGGGTCAAAAGTTAGGTTCAAGTCAGAGACTCGGAAAGGACTCGCTGTTTACTGTAACATTTTCTCCTTCAACAATAAAGACCGAATGCATTTATAATCACACGGAAAAAGAAGACCGTAGCAATTAGGGATGTAAGAAAATATCGATGTGGCAATATATCGCAATATTTTCTCCAGCAATACTATATCGATTTTCAAAAGCCGTGTATCGAAATTTTGGAAGAACTTCTATAGAAACATTTGTGCATTTCTTTTCCTTTGGTGCAATTCAAACGCCGACCCCTAGTTGGCAGCAGAGTGCAATGGGTTTTGTTTTCACTGTGAAATGTAATGTAAATCCCTCTGTTATGGTTCAGATACCTCATGTTTAACATGTGATGCATCAGTTTGTACTGTTTATTAAATCACTAATACTGTCTGGCTGAACCATCTCCCCTGTATCGTGATAAGTATCGTATCGCCAGAATTTCACCAACACACATCCCTAGTAGCAATACGAGCAGCTTTAAGAGCGAAGCTCGAAAAACTAGAATCTGGTGCAAAATTCATTTGTGTCAGTAATCCAGCCTAAAAAGGTGAAACTACTCTGAGCCAGACTCAATTATTCATACTCAGATGCTTCAGCCGTTATCTGTTATAATAGATGGTGATTATGGCGTACAGCTGATGAAAACACCACATTCCGAATCTCAGACAATCAGAATATTGTGAAAAGGTTCAAGACTCAAAGTGTCTAATCAGCTGATGAATCCAGAACACCTGCAGAGGGTTCCTGAGCCTTTAGATCAGGGGTATTCCATTCTGGGCCTCAAGGGTCAGAATCCAGCACGTTTTGGTGGTTTCTCTGCTCCAGCACACTAGATTCAGTGGTTGAATCACATGTGCAGCAGCTCATCAGGCTCTACAGAAGCCTGTTAATCACAGGGATGAGGAGTGAGCACCACCTCACCCCTGCCACGTGAACCTCAGGGATAAACCATCAGTCCTGCTCAGTGGTCAACTTTCCTCGCGGGGTCACCCATAAAGACAGAGGGAGGGTTAAAGTTCAGACTAATAAGAAAGAAAATGCTTCTTCACAACAGTGGAGAATCAACTCCTCGCTAGCTGAGACTGGGTGTTACAGGAGAGGAGGCATCTGGAATGGGAGGAGCTGGTCGTAGTGACGCAGTACTAACCTGACCTGCTGTCTGCAGCCTTGTTATGCAGACAGACGATTTGCAGCCGAGACAGAAAAATGCAAGCGCGAAGCCAAAAACTGCTTTGGGGGCATTTTAAAAAGAGGACATAACAATAAAACAAGGTCAAAAGCTCCAAAAGCGAATTGTGGATGACATTAGGAGCTTAAATGAAAGGACATGTCCACGTCTGTTAGGCTATAGCATTTTTGTGCAGAGGATTGGAGAAAAGCATCAGGGATTAAAAGATGATTGATGCTGCCACCTGCAACAATACATAAGATGTTGATTTTATAATATGATCATAGACAAAACAGACGCCAGTTTCCACCTCCACAAGCTGGATATGACCCTGGAAACCCTCTCAGACTGTGTTAACACAGCCAACGAGCTGTGGTGACAACATGGCCCTTGTTGCTTTTATTTGCTGAATTATAACTTCTGCTGAGTGGCAGATGTTGTCTTTGAACAGAAGTCATTTAAGACCAGGGTGAGGAATATGAGCAGCCCTCTCAGGACTCTCCAGAGGTAAACCAGCTCAGGTGTGTCCTCCACCTGCAGCTGTCACTGGAACTGGCCTTTAACTCAGCAACACTTCCGGTTCGATCATTTGTTAAAAACATCTTTATTATTAGAACTTCAATACGAATCCCTTTTCACGTCTGAACTAGCTCGATGTTGGATGACCTGCTACAATATGTTTCTGAAGGTAACCCAGCTAGCAGCAGTAGCATTAACCAGGTGAGACCACCGCGTGTGAGTATCGGTAACGTGAGTAAACACGTTAGGACCGTCTCTGACAGTTTGACTGGTGGTTTATTGTCCCGTAAGACTCATCAGGAACGTTAGTTACGTACTGTAACCCCAGATTCAGAGTATGGCGTAGCCCTTTAAGCAGTTGTTTATCGAAGCTACAGCTAGCTACAACTGGAGCGCTAAACTCGCACCTCTCGGTCCTCTCCCGCCGCCTTTTATTGTGTTTTATGATAGATGACTCGCACTTCTAGCGCCTCTCAGTCAGAAGACTCCAACGCTCTTTACACTACAGTGTAATATTCATCCATTCACACACACACACACACCTGCTCTTGCTCGACTCTTTAGCAAGTTCTGTACCCTTTGGAGGGTCCTGGAGGGTGCATGGGAGTTCACCCAACCCAACCAATCTACGTGTGTTTTGTGGATTTGGAGAAGGTGTTCGACAACGTCCCCCGGGGGGCCCTGTGGGGTCACTCTGGGAGTATGGGGTACCAGGCCCCCTGATAAGGGCTGTTAGGTCCCTGTATGACCAGTGTCAGAGCTTGGTCCACATTGCCTACAGTAAGTCGGTGAGAGTTGGACTCCTGCGGTCTTGCTCCAAGTGGAGGAGTTTAGGTATCTCAGGGTCTTGTTCACGAGTGAGGGAAAGACTCACCTATGGTCATGAGCTTTGGGTAGTGACTGAAAGAACGAGAACACGGATACAAGCGGCTGAAATGAGTTTTCTCTGCAGGGTGGCCGGGCTTTCCCTTAGAGGTAGAGTGAGAAGCTCAGTCATCTGGGAGGGGCTCGGAGTAGATCCGCTGCTCCTCCACATCAAGAGTTGAGCCACTTGAGGTGGCTCGGGCATCTGGTCAGGATGCCTCCTGGACATCTCCCTGGTGAGGTTTTCCAGGCACGTCCAACTGGGAGGAGGCCTAAAGGTAGACCCAGGACACGCTGAAGGGACTACGTCTCTCACCTGGCCAGAGAACACCTTGGGATTCCCCCAGAAGAGCTGGCCCAATGGGCTTGGGAGAGGGAAGTTTGGGCCTCTCGACTTAGGCTGCTGCCCCCACGACTTGTCTCTGGATAAGCAGAAGAGGATGGATGGATGAATGAATAATATTAAAATGTGATTAAATTACTGGCATGTGTCCAAAAATAAAAACCAGCACCGTTGTCAGTTAACAGTATAACAGACGTGTAATGCATCTTTCCAACAGAGAAATATTTGATTGTAATCATATATGCACACAATAATAAAATATTCTGTATTTCGTTAATCGCATTTGAAAATACATATGATTAGAAATGGCACTTGAGCCATTTCTCACTAGCAGCCATGTGATGATGGAACACATGATGCCGCAGGTGTCCCTGATGAACCACATGGCAGAAGAAGAGGAGGAAGTAATGACGTCTTTGGCGATGGGGATGCGCTGTTCAGGCTGTAGGCAGTTGGACCCAGACCTGGTACCAGCTTGACCACGACCGTGTTCCACATCTCTGCACCTGTGCACCGGGCTCTTCATCCTTCATTGAACCTGGATGTTGTCGTTCCTGCCACCAGAGCCCCTGCACCTTCTGGCCTCAGTCAACACTCCTGCGGGTAAACAGAGGGGTCAAAAGTTAGGTTCAAGTCAGAGACTCGGAAAGGACTCGCTGTTTACTGTAACATTTTCTCCTTCAACAATAAAGACCGAATGCATTTATAATCACACGGAAAAAGAAGACCGTAGCAATTAGGGATGTAAGAAAATATCGATGTGGCAATATATCGCAATATTTTCTCCAGCAATACTATATCGATTTTCAAAAGCCGTGTATCGAAATTTTGGAAGAACTTCTATAGAAACATTTGTGCATTTCTTTTCCTTTGGTGCAATTCAAACGCCGACCCCTAGTTGGCAGCAGAGTGCAATGGGTTTTGTTTTCACTGTGAAATGTAATGTAAATCCCTCTGTTATGGTTCAGATACCTCATGTTTAACATGTGATGCATCAGTTTGTACTGTTTATTAAATCACTAATACTGTCTGGCTGAACCATCTCCCCTGTATCGTGATAAGTATCGTATCGCCAGAATTTCACCAACACACATCCCTAGTAGCAATACGAGCAGCTTTAAGAGCGAAGCTCGAAAAACTAGAATCTGGTGCAAAATTCATTTGTGTCAGTAATCCAGCCTAAAAAGGTGAAACTACTCTGAGCCAGACTCAATTATTCATACTCAGATGCTTCAGCCGTTATCTGTTATAATAGATGGTGATTATGGCGTACAGCTGATGAAAACACCACATTCCGAATCTCAGACAATCAGAATATTGTGAAAAGGTTCAAGACTCAAAGTGTCTAATCAGCTGATGAATCCAGAACACCTGCAGAGGGTTCCTGAGCCTTTAGATCAGGGGTATTCCATTCTGGGCCTCAAGGGTCAGAATCCAGCACGTTTTGGTGGTTTCTCTGCTCCAGCACACTAGATTCAGTGGTTGAATCACATGTGCAGCAGCTCATCAGGCTCTACAGAAGCCTGTTAATCACAGGGATGAGGAGTGAGCACCACCTCACCCCTGCCACGTGAACCTCAGGGATAAACCATCAGTCCTGCTCAGTGGTCAACTTTCCTCGCGGGGTCACCCATAAAGACAGAGGGAGGGTTAAAGTTCAGACTAATAAGAAAGAAAATGCTTCTTCACAACAGTGGAGAATCAACTCCTCGCTAGCTGAGACTGGGTGTTACAGGAGAGGAGGCATCTGGAATGGGAGGAGCTGGTCGTAGTGACGCAGTACTAACCTGACCTGCTGTCTGCAGCCTTGTTATGCAGACAGACGATTTGCAGCCGAGACAGAAAAATGCAAGCGCGAAGCCAAAAACTGCTTTGGGGGCATTTTAAAAAGAGGACATAACAATAAAACAAGGTCAAAAGCTCCAAAAGCGAATTGTGGATGACATTAGGAGCTTAAATGAAAGGACATGTCCACGTCTGTTAGGCTATAGCATTTTTGTGCAGAGGATTGGAGAAAAGCATCAGGGATTAAAAGATGATTGATGCTGCCACCTGCAACAATACATAAGATGTTGATTTTATAATATGATCATAGACAAAACAGACGCCAGTTTCCACCTCCACAAGCTGGATATGACCCTGGAAACCCTCTCAGACTGTGTTAACACAGCCAACGAGCTGTGGTGACAACATGGCCCTTGTTGCTTTTATTTGCTGAATTATAACTTCTGCTGAGTGGCAGATGTTGTCTTTGAACAGAAGTCATTTAAGACCAGGGTGAGGAATATGAGCAGCCCTCTCAGGACTCTCCAGAGGTAAACCAGCTCAGGTGTGTCCTCCACCTGCAGCTGTCACTGGAACTGGCCTTTAACTCAGCAACACTTCCGGTTCGATCATTTGTTAAAAACATCTTTATTATTAGAACTTCAATACGAATCCCTTTTCACGTCTGAACTAGCTCGATGTTGGATGACCTGCTACAATATGTTTCTGAAGGTAACCCAGCTAGCAGCAGTAGCATTAACCAGGTGAGACCACCGCGTGTGAGTATCGGTAACGTGAGTAAACACGTTAGGACCGTCTCTGACAGTTTGACTGGTGGTTTATTGTCCCGTAAGACTCATCAGGAACGTTAGTTACGTACTGTAACCCCAGATTCAGAGTATGGCGTAGCCCTTTAAGCAGTTGTTTATCGAAGCTACAGCTAGCTACAACTGGAGCGCTAAACTCGCACCTCTCGGTCCTCTCCCGCCGCCTCTCCCCTCAGCTGTACGGCAGTGAACGTCCGGTAACGTTTGTTGACCTTCACGTGAGGAAAACTATAACAATTCCGCTGAACCTCACCTTAATGTAAGCATCCTCCGCTTGCTGCCTCTCCAGCACCTACCCACCGCCGTCTGACCGCCCCTTCACCAAAATGACGTCAAGACGTAAGGAGCTGAGCCAATAGGATCGTCGGAAACACTTCCGTCCTTTTCTCTCATATAGAACCAGAGCTGTTTAAAAAGAACCTGTTAAATGTTTGTGTTAGACTGTTTTCCCCTACTTTATGAAGATAACGAGGCTAATATTTCTCATTCCCCTCCTCATTCATAAAAAGTCCATCTAAACCTTTGGAGTGCTGTAGCTAGCTGGGTTTAAAAATCACAATTTTTATTGTGTTTTATGATAGATGACTCGCACTTCTAGCGCCTCTCAGTCAGAAGACTCCAACGCTCTTTACACTACAGTGTAATATTCATCCATTCACACACACACACACACCTGCTCTTGCTCGACTCTTTAGCAAGTTCTGTACCCTTTGGAGGGTCCTGGAGGGTGCATGGGAGTTCACCCAACCCAACCAATCTACGTGTGTTTTGTGGATTTGGAGAAGGTGTTCGACAACGTCCCCCGGGGGGCCCTGTGGGGTCACTCTGGGAGTATGGGGTACCAGGCCCCCTGATAAGGGCTGTTAGGTCCCTGTATGACCAGTGTCAGAGCTTGGTCCACATTGCCTACAGTAAGTCGGTGAGAGTTGGACTCCTGCGGTCTTGCTCCAAGTGGAGGAGTTTAGGTATCTCAGGGTCTTGTTCACGAGTGAGGGAAAGACTCACCTATGGTCATGAGCTTTGGGTAGTGACTGAAAGAACGAGAACACGGATACAAGCGGCTGAAATGAGTTTTCTCTGCAGGGTGGCCGGGCTTTCCCTTAGAGGTAGAGTGAGAAGCTCAGTCATCTGGGAGGGGCTCGGAGTAGATCCGCTGCTCCTCCACATCAAGAGTTGAGCCACTTGAGGTGGCTCGGGCATCTGGTCAGGATGCCTCCTGGACATCTCCCTGGTGAGGTTTTCCAGGCACGTCCAACTGGGAGGAGGCCTAAAGGTAGACCCAGGACACGCTGAAGGGACTACGTCTCTCACCTGGCCAGAGAACACCTTGGGATTCCCCCAGAAGAGCTGGCCCAATGGGCTTGGGAGAGGGAAGTTTGGGCCTCTCGACTTAGGCTGCTGCCCCCACGACTTGTCTCTGGATAAGCAGAAGAGGATGGATGGATGAATGAATAATATTAAAATGTGATTAAATTACTGGCATGTGTCCAAAAATAAAAACCAGCACCGTTGTCAGTTAACAGTATAACAGACGTGTAATGCATCTTTCCAACAGAGAAATATTTGATTGTAATCATATATGCACACAATAATAAAATATTCTGTATTTCGTTAATCGCATTTGAAAATACATATGATTAGAAATGGCACTTGAGCCATTTCTCTAGCCTAGAAATCTAGATAAACAGTTTAGCCACACTCCACTGGAGCCTCAGCAGGCCTGACCAGTCTGTGTCAAGCCAATCACAGCGCTCTATCGCTTAGATTGGCCAGTCACAGCGCTCTATCGCTTAGATTGGCCAATCACAGCGCTCTATCGGTTTGATTGCAAATCACAGCGCTCTATCGGTTTAGTGGGTGGGATGATTCTATGAGCAGAACGACTAAGATGGCAGTGGCTCATTTGAAACAGTTTTGGCGTCAGCTTTGGACTATTTAGTCTTGCAGTTTTCTTTAAGTCAAGTGCAGATAGAGGTACTTAAGTCCTTTAGAAAAATATTGCATTTGCATCTTCTTTGACAGAGTACGGTGGACTCTGTAGCTGCAGTACTCACGTGGTTTGTTGTCCAATAGCATGTGGAGACATGAAAGACAACCGTAAATTCCTGGACACCTTAGGCACTTGCAGTCCTGGATGGGACGGGCGCATGTGCAATTCGGAAGTGCAAGACAGATGTAGGCTGTGCTGAGATCTCGCGATAATTTGGTTGCAATTAACATTATTTTTATGGTGTGACCAGAATGACTACCCCTTAACTACCATAGGGCTGTGGGTGATATCCTGAGTACGTGTTTAGTATCGTGTTGAATCTTTTGTGCCGTTTATGTTTTAAATCTGAATTGTTGCGTTTGCGCAGTAGGCTACACCTTTCACCGCCTGTGCGTCAGAGGGTCTGCCTGCGCGTTCCCGTGCTCGCTCGTTCCCGCCTCCTGTCCAGTCCAAGCCCGGTTCATTCGCTGACTCAGTGCCTTAATCAGCATCACCGTTCCAAGGAAGCAGCTACAGCATCCTCTGCGGAGAAATACATCAGCCATGGCTAAAATAACCGGTAAGCACGCTGAGGCTGGTTTTACCCGCGGGGACAGATGGATGGATGATGGATGGATGGATGGATGGATGAACGACAGGTGCGTCTTTCTGTGTCGGCCCTGTGGGTGTAGACGTGGTGGCCGCAAGTCTTTTAATCTCCTCCTGAGATTATCGGGATGATTTCTAATTTAAGAACCTTTTCCAATGAATTGCGAATCTGATCAGAAATCTGAATCAAATCTAAAACGTGGTTCCAATAAGACCGCCATCCTCTGGTTTCTGGAACCTCTCCGTTAATAATCTAGTTTTATCTGGTTCCGTGAAACGTGGTGTTTTAAAACCCATGATGCTTTCTGAGCTGAGCCGCATTCGCAATGCTGCACCTGCGGTTCATGCTCAGCGGCCCCAGCATGCAGCATAATGCAGACGGACCCCACCCAAGATGGGCTGCCATCATCCTCCTCATCCTCCTCAGCCAGACTTCATCCCTCCGACTCCTCCTGGCTGGCACGAAAAGCAGCTTTTGTTGTTGTTTATTTATAAGCTGGTTATCCATTTTATTTATGGTTAAATTTATGAAGATTAGGAAAATGCCAGTAAACCCACGCTGGCTGCTGCGGGTGTGTGACCATCCCAGCTGGTGGTTTTACTGGAACAGGCTGCATGGAGAAGTGTGGCAGGTGCATGTCATGGTGGGAGGTAGGCCAGCCCTGCAGCAAGAGGCCGCTTTACACACAGTCCCTCTTTAAGCAGCCAGCTCTGTCCATAAAGGAAGCATCAGCTGAATGAACCTCTCACCTGGCTGCCGACTCTTCTTCGTGTTCCCACAGCATACAAAGAGAAGATGAAGGAGCTCTCTGTCCTCTCTCTCATCTGCTCCTGCTTCTACCCAGAGTCTCGCAACAAGCTGGTGTGTGAGTTTGAAGGTACGGGCGATCTCAAACCCTTGGTTTACTCTTCAGGGCTAAAAATTCAGCTCCTGTGGATGATTTGTCGTCGCCTGATTTTCAGACATGGAGGTGAAACCCATAGACAAGCGAGCGTCGGGACAGGCCTTTGAGGTGATTCTCAAGCCCTTGTCTCCAGTGTCGGAGGCAGCCCACAACCTCCTCTCCCCCCCAAAAAGGGATATCTCCTTGGAGGACATTGAGAAGAAACTGGAGGCTGCTGAAGAGCGGAGGAGGGTATTTTTAAAAGATTTGTTGTGATTAAAATGGAAACAGCAATAAAAAGACTTACTTGATTGTTTCTGATTGCATCCTTAGTACCAAGAGGCTCAGGTGCTAAAGAGTTTGGCAGAGAAGCGAGAGCACGAGAGGGACGTGCTGCTAAAGGCCATGGAGGAGAACAGCAACTTCAGCAAGATGGCCGAGGAGAAGCTGCAGCTGAAGATGGAGCAGATTAAGGAGAACCGTGAAGCCCAGCTGGCAGCCATGATGGAGCGGCTTCAGGAGAAGGTGAGACGAGCAGAAACGTAAAAAACGGTCAACGAGAAACTCTTCAACCTTTAATCTTTCCCACTGTGTTGTTGTGTTCAGGAGAGGCACGCTGCCGAGGTGCGCAGGAACAAAGAGCGGAGGGAATAGCCAGTAGCATGAACCTCACACACCTTCTGTGGTCCATCCATCCATCCTTCAACCCTTCTGAGACAGACAGTTGACCCTGAAGGCCGAGAGGCTCGAGCATCGCACCACACCCTCACCGCACACTTTATCACAAGAGCTCACAACGATCAGCGATACAAACACCAGAAACACCATCCATCCATCCATCTATCTATCTATCTATCTATCTATCTATCTATCTATCTATCTATCTATCTATCTATCTATCCATCTATCTATCTATCTATCCATCTATCTACCCACCTACCTACCTGTCTACCTGTCTACCTGGATAGATGATAGGACGACACACTGATTTATGGATCTAGGTGAAGTGCTGCACCTGCGGCTCCGTGCTCTACCACACTGTTCTCCTCTCCAGCTAAAGACGGACCTTTGCAGTGTTTCCCTGAAAGATGTTGTGATGTTTCTGTGTGATTTGTGAAAAGGTGACGGTGGGTGTACCTACACAACAATATCCGTAAGATTTCAGCCATCTTGGTCTCCCTCACCATCCCTCTTCAACACACGCACTTGGAACGTACCACCCATAGATGCTCAGAAACAACGAGCTTGATGACGATCTGTACAGGTGCTTTATTGTTAATAAGAATGTGTTTGCATAAAGACGGTTGCGTATTTCGACGCCATCTTCCCGTGAATTTGTTGCCAAATGAACAGCTCTGCATAAGAACACAGTATCTGGGGATGAACCATACAAATGAGTGAATGGTGCGACACCCTTCTGGTGTCATGTCGTGTCTTGGACAGTGGAACGTGGCGTTGCTCCATTCTGAAGATGACTTATGAACATGCTGTATGGGTGTGTGTGAATGCTGATTTACCCTTTAGGCATCTTTAGCATCTTCTCTCTTTAGGGTGTTAGAAACTCGATGCAGGACGCTTTACATCCAGCACACCGAAGTAGTCTCTTTTTACTACGATTACTCAGTACACCACTGATATCTGCCTGCATACGCTGCTGCTTGTGTTTCTCCTTTCATAAGTTTCCGTGAAAGCTTTGCTAAATAAAAGTTTGGGGTTCTGTGAACATGGCATGCTGCATCTACAACGTTTCTGTATTAAAACACGAGGGATTGTAAACTGCCAAATAAATGAACCAGTTATCTACACATCCCAGGAGTTACATTTACCTTTCCGCCTCATCGGACCATGCATGGTCCAGACGGAGCTCCCACTGGCTGGATTACTGCATGCACCAGCAGGTGGCAGTGTGGGATTTCTTTAGAGTAGATGAGATGAGGCCTGAGCCTCTGAAGCAGCACTTAGGTCAAAATAGAACATCACAAAAGAGACATAACCCAAAAACACCCTCAGAAGATAGAAACCTTTAATCGTAACTTTATTTTAGCAAATATAAAAGCACATCACCCATACTCAGGTTTAGTGTGTTTCTGTATAAAAGTCTGAAATGGTAACCAGCTCTAGTTGTAGCTAGCATCACGTCTGCAGTTATATCCTGTAGGATTGATGAGCTAAAGGCTAGTTGTTTGAACACAGTTTTGCTGCTACCTTAAAACAGCTGCAGCCTAAAAGCAGCAGCATTACACTTTATGGGATATTTTCACACAGCTGCAGAAAAGTTTAGGTTTGCTGTTATTAATTTAAATAACTACTTTAAAAGTTTTAAAACTTGAGCTGTTTTACAGTTTCTCAGTTGCTTTGGTGCATCTCTGCACCACTACTGAGGCTCTTCTCAAAACAATTAGTGCAAACTGCAAAACATGGTGGATAACTTGCAAAAGAGAGTCACTTCATCAAAAAGAAAAGCCAGTGGTTCAAAAGCACGTCCCTGTCATGTTCCTGGGAATGAGCTTAACCCACGACATGAAGAATCATCACAAGACGGGGGAAAGTTCAAAACAATGATTTATTTAAGGAATCCAACAAAAGGTGTCCCTGGAATAAACCCTGAGTAGTTGAGAGAGAGTCCAAGTTCTGCAGGTGGAGGAGGTCGAGGAGGGCAGGTGGAGTGACGGGGTGAGTCCAGGAGAGGGCGCCAGGCAGGGTGGCAGAGGAATAAGAGGAGAGGCGAACCGTGAAGTCCAGGAAGGTATGGTTCTCTCCAGGTGAGTAATCCAGTAAGGTTCTGCTTCTTGGATGGAGGATAATATCCAACAACCCCAGAGCGTCAGGGAAGATTGTCCAGTAATCCTGGAGAGAGGATACAAACTTGAGTCCAAAAAAATCCAACACAAGAGTCCAAGAATAACCCAAGAAATTCTCCCAGTCAATTATCTACTTAGAAACCAAGCAACCTAGAACGAGTGGCCAAAATACTACCATGAGTAGCTAATCATCCAGCGCTGTGTAGTGGTTCCCTCTCCTCTTATATAGAGCTCTGCTGCGGATGACCTGAGAAGCTGCAGCTGCTTGCTAATACCCCGCAGCTGGTGAGCTCCCTCTCCTGAAATGAAGAGCTCAAAGATGTTATAGAGATGAGGAGTACTCACCCCACCACACAACAGTCCCTTAATCAAAACAGATGATATATTCATCAAAAGCAAGTACTTATATCAATCAAAGTGTCAGGGCTGTCACAATTACCAGCACCTTAAATGGCTTGAACATGCTCTCATTGTGACGGATTTCTTTGTAGGTGCTTCCCAGTGACACGTCAAGTCTGGGCAGCATGCATGGCACGTTGAAAACCATAAACTGTAAAGGAAAATCCAGACACTTCATGTGCACTCTTGATGATATTTAACTGAAACTGTTCACAGCGTTGTGCAGCTGGGGAAATACAGTAAAACAAACATTTTACAGCAAACATAAACTCCCTTAGACAGTAAACCTTACTGCAGTAGTTATGAAACAAAAACTGAACAGACACTGCTGCATATCAGTCACTGATATCAGAATCAGACAAACTTTATTCATCCCCGAGGGGCAATTAAAAAAATAACAGCAGAGCAGCATGATGCTGGACATACGAACATTGAATACATCGGCAATAAGGAAGTAATAAAGCAGCAAGAAGATGGATAAAACAGGAAAATATGCAAAAATCACTGAGTAAGCTAATAAAGTGACTAAATCTAATATCTAGACGCTCCCGTCTGTCTGCCCACACATTTTCATCAGCATCACAGGGAACGTCCGCTCTATCGATGCATCGGGGAAAGTATCTTCTGGAGTGTCGAATCCACCCTCTGCAGGACTCTGCTGTGATGTCATCACAAGCTGCATCCATAGCTGCTAGCAGGGCCATTTGGGTATGTGGATGCCTGTCATCTACCTTCCACCTCCAGGAAGAGAAAAACTCCTCAGTTGGATTTAGGAATGTAGTGTAAGGAGGAAGAAACTCCAGAAGCATCCTGCCGTGTGCTGCAAAGCACTGACTGTCTACAGCAGAGTGATGGAAGCTAACGTTATCCCAAACCACTACATACATCGTCCGATTGTCACCAGGACACACACCAGTTTTCATTAGTTTGAGATAAGGTTCTCCTGAGAAAAGTAATCTATGGAGATTTCCATGAAACTCCTTAAAAATAGGGTTTTCTAAATGGATGTACAAAGTGTTCGACAAGATGTTCAACAATTCTGAGTGCAATGACACGAGCAATGACATGAAGACTATCAGTTGTAAGGACAATGACTATTCAGCCGGTACAAGTATAAATAATTGTCACATTCATGATAAAAGCAAGGAGACGGTGATGAATAGCAAGTCAAACATGACCATTCTTTAGATATTTGTGCTTATTCAGCTGCTTCATGTCCAAAGGCATGAAACCGCCACTAGGTTGTGCCAGAACGACTACATGTTGTGGAGGTTTAACTGTTGTGCAAAGTTTAGTTTTGATGTGAGAAATGCACCAAAGCAACCGAGAAACACTGTAAGGTGGCAGCATCCCATTTCAGTGTTGTGCTTGGACTAGCGGTTAGCTCATCAGTCCTGCAATAAATAAGCACTATTTCTCCAAATAGAGGCCTTTCAGAAGGTGATGTATGGTAGAGAAATGTATAACTTTTACACAGAAACATCTATTTAAGATGGGAGCAGAAGCAGATTTATGAGTCCAGATGTTTTTCTGTGTTTTCAGTACTTCGGTCCTCATCCTGTTCACACTATTGTCTCCGCTTGAGGCCAGCCCAGGCTGCGGAGGTCAGGCCAACGTTGTAAAGGATTTCCTTTGGCTCTTAATGATTTCCTGGGTATTCATGGGGGCAACAATGCTTCTGGATTTGGTTTCTTGGCTTGGCAACCAGTGAAGGAGTTACCTTTCAGTCCACAAACCGGACCACGTTAGCTCATGATTAACTTCCACAGCAACACAAACGCACCTGCTGAGAAAACGCCATTTGGGAAGAGGAAATTACAGGAATGTTTAGTGTAAACGGTCCCATTTAAACCACATCATTCCGATCTATTAAGCAGTAAAATATTTATTTTATGCACATTTTACATTTCAGACCAAATTTGATTGATAAAAATATTACAGATCCACGTTACACATCCCTCTCAAAAGCAAGTTAGTGGTGTACAAAATACGGATTTTCATTTTCAACAAATCCAACGTTTCACAAAGAAATCCTGAAAAACTAATGAGTGAATCTGCATTTCCAGTAACTTAACTAACAGTTTCCGTCGGTCCTCAACCTGGAGGCGGTGCAGGCTGGGCATTAAAACCTTCTCTCTGAAGGTTTAGAGAAGGTCCTGTAACTTCATTCAGAGTAAAATAAATGTTCATTTGTTCTTCTGTCATTCATCCATCATAAAACAGCTGAGCCAAGTGGTTTTATGGTGGTGGGCACAGCTCAGCTGTTGCCTTCAGTGTCAGAAGGCTCCGATCTCCATGCCCCAAGGCCTGTAGGGCTTTGAGAAGGTGGAGGAGGGACTCGCTGCGCTGACGGCTGGAGAGATGAGGGGGAACGCTCCAAAGGAAAGAGGAAAGGCCGAAAGCGAGGACAGGGATGAGACCAGCGGTGGCGAAAGCTTAGATGGTGGCACAGGGAGACTGAGGGGTAGCGAGCCATTTAGAGGAACCCTGAGGGACTCCGGAGAAGTGAGGAGACCAAGTCTGGATGAGCCAGATGCCTCAGACGATGAGGAGGATGAAGAAGATGGGGCAGAAGAGGAGGAGGGAGGGCTACTGTTGGTTCTGGGTGCAGGTGTCCTGCCCTGAGGGTGCTGGAGAAGGAGGCAGTGTGGAAGATGGTCCGGGGTAGATCCATAGGCAGAGCCCCAGGCTAAATGTTCTAGTCCAGTGTGCACATCCCTCTGAGAGGCGTAGCTGCTCAGGTGAGACACTAAACGCACACGCAGGGAGTCTGTGCTGTCCCGGCTCTCTACGACGCTCAGGTAGCGCGTCGTCTCTGCCAGGCACTCCCTGAAGCCCAGGCTGCGGTAATCCTTAGCAAGGGCGTGAGCCTCAAAGTAGCCTGTGAGGAAAGACAGCAGCGTTTAAATAAGCTTTTAGTTCAGATCTTCAACAACAGATGCAGTCACCTTTCCCTCCAGATGCATGAAGTGACTTTAAGTGGTCCACTGTCATCTGCAGAATCTCTGCCTTCTCCAGTTTAGCGGATCCCTGCACAGACAGAGCCGTCACGTCAGCCGTTTCATAAAAAACAACCTCCATCCGTCTTTACAACAAGTGCTGCACCTGTTTCTCAAAAGCACTTGGCACCAGTCTTCTCAGCTCTGACAGGCTGTTGTTGATCCGGTCTCGCCTCCTCTTCTCAATGATCTGTTAAAACATTTAAAGTGTTGCTTCAAATAAGGAAAGTATTTCAGGTTTTAAGTGAATAAAGGTTCTCCTACCCCTCTGCGCCGTTTTCTGGCCTGAACCTGGGTGCTTGAGGTCGGTGACATGGACCCGTGACAGTCAAGCTGACTAAAAGGAAAAGATTGTTTGATATTTTTAAACTTAGCAAAAAAGGTCAGTTTAGCAGTAAATATAAGGTAAAGAAGTCCAGTGAAAATGGAGACACTGGTTTGAGGCTTTAAAAGTCTGAAAGAGGACACGGAAAAGAAAAGTTAAACTCCAGCCACCCGTTTTCGTCCCCGCTGTCCTTCTGCACCTCCACGTTGTCGTCCAGCTCGCTGTCTGATGAGCTGGAGTTGCTGCTTCGCTTCATCCTGCTGGACTCACCTAAAGAGGCTGCAGCCACACAGACTCACAGCAGACTCAGCTGGGACTTTTACCACCGTGGGAGGGGGCGTGGCTTCAGTAGAGGAAGTGGGAGGGGCCATGATGACACTGGGTTGTTGAGCAGTTTGAAATGAAAGGCATCTTAAGTGGTGTTTGTATTAGACTGCGTGTGTAATGAAGAGCCTGAAACGATTCAACACTTTATTTGTTTCCCGTTTGGAGACTCATCGATAACGTGCATTAGCCTTAGAGAACAAGCACGGGAACTTGCTAGAAAACTGTCCCAGCTCTCCCAGTACAAGTCCCCATTCACTGCAAACAGGTCAGCTGTAACTGACACACCCTCCCAACCCTAACCCTGACCCTGCAGCTTTCTTTTGTGAGCAACGAGGGCTCATCTTTCTGCTCCGCAGGGATGAAAAGCTGCAGAAATGTTTCAAGCAGCAGTCAGAACAAGGAAACAATCTGCCACAGGTGGGCTAGCTCTGAGCCAGCTAATGGCCAGGGGTCAGAGTTCAAACTACCGACGACGATCCGTGGGTCCACATTCGGCACAATTTGTTTGATTTTTACGCGTGAATAACCAGAACCACCTTAAATCCAGAACCACCTTAAATCCAGAACCTCAAGGGTTCATTTAGATGAACAAGAAAAACCAGAAATAAAATATCTTTATTTAAATAGTTAGTTCGACACGACGCTCGTCTCTGCTGCATCAGCAGTTTAAACGTACTTCCTGACGAACATCGACATGACCTGTACCCTGGAACGGCACGCCATGGTTCAGGACTGATGTACTAGATTTCTTTGGATTGTTTGATGTTTTATCTTTATTGAAATAAAGTTGATCCTTTTTGTATTGAAATCAGTGGACTTAATAGTTTTTATTTTTGGGTAAATGAACATTTGGGTGTCTTGTCCTGGACACATCTGCTGAGGCCATCAGTGGAGATGCATCCAGCCCCCCATCGGTCTGCCACCCTGTTGAGGAGCAGCTGTTTCTGCTCCATCAGGTCAGTTGTTCACTGCACATTGGGAACTGGACAAGGGTGGATGAGAGTTTGATTCCTCAAAGCGACAGCTGCAAACTAACGTTTTCTGTTCCCAGAACATCAGCGGGGGTGAGGGGAGGCAGGTAGCACACATCCAGTCAGCTGCTTGTTGCTGTGGATCCCACACCGAGCCAAACGGGGCCTTTCCATGACAGAAATCTCCATTTTACTCTTGGTTGTTTGTCCCAGCAGGAGGCGACTGCGCCACTGGTTTCACAGAACAAATGTTAGGCTTTACCTGTGCACCTGCGTGCGTTAGCTTTTCACCAGAACATTTCCTCTGAACACTGAAGAAACTCACTCTGAGCGTGTTCTGGTCGTGCTTTGTTCACCAGGGACCACTGGAACAACTTAGCACCAGTTTCTAGAAACACAACTCCACCCCTGTGCCAGGGAGCTAAAAGGTACACTAAAAGGTACAAGCAAGCATTGGTGTCTACACGTGTGTGCACAGTCAAAAATAGGGGTACGGAAAGGGGACCTTGTTGTGCCCCAAGGTACAAAAACGGTATTGACCCATGTCTAAGGACAAACATTGGACCTCAGAGAAC